TATTGCTACTCAGGTGCTCCCTTGGCACCTGAGTAGCAATATGGTGACACCCATGGTTAGATCTTCTGTTTTAAAACCAAGCTAAGGCCCTGGGTCAATACTGAGGGAGGTGCACTAACTACTGAGTCATCACTAGCTGCAGCATCTAAGTGGTCCTTGTCACTCTATCATAGGATTGATCCGGTTGCTTACTTCACTGGTGAATAGTGACTACATCATATCACTCTGGCTGCAGGCTAGAACTCATTCACTCTACTTGAGGAACTGATCCTCCAGTATTCCAAAAGGGAAGTTGTACTGAGGATTTGAAGGTCTGCAGTTATAGTGCATAAAATGAATTCGATCACTTAATGGCAATCTGTAGCACAGTATGATGCTTAAAAAATTAAACCCTAGCTTGCATCTGACTGAGCTACATATCTTCTTCATAGCTTTCTGTGTCTGAGGAAACTCTGATGCATTTCAGAACTGTGGATCTTACCTTGCATTCTTCACACGCCGGCCAATCTAGTTAAAATGAGCCCTTGTGCTGCATGGTACACTGGGGTTGCAAGTAAGGTGACACACCAGATTTCTTGTATAGGTGCAGGCTCAGCCCACTTGCTTTGGGGTTCCATTAGCTAGCAGGGACTGTGCATTTGCTGTCCCTGAATTTTCACAGGAGACCCTACAGCAGGGAGAGGGAAGTGCAACCCATTCTTAAAAGCGCTGATTCTGTGTTTTTTTTCCCTCTGTCCTCAGGGCCCAGTAATTTATGCGCAATTGGATCATTCCGGTGGGCAACACAGCGACAAGATTAACAAGTCGGAATCCGTGGTTTATGCTGACATTCGGAAGAACTGAGGAGATCCCACCGTATCCAAAGCAAAACAAAAATTCAAACTGGAATGGCTTGAATCAAATGTGACCCAGAGAACTCACATGTGGCCTTTGATGCCTAGGCTAGGACCAATGCATGTGAATACAGAGAGATATATGTGTTGTGTGTGTAAATAGTCTATTTAATCGTACAGAAGTGAGACCAGTGTTGCATGTTGAGATGCAGTAAGAATTCTGCTTATAAATGGCCAATATTCTTTTTTGTATCTAGGATAAGGGGAGAAAAAGTGAAAATACATAACATGGCAATTTTAAAGTATTTTTTTGTCTCAATCATTAATGGGGAAACTGGAGGGTGCTAGGGGATTCTAGATTTACCTGATCATTTTTCAACAGGGTTTTCCTTTTTTGAAGGGATGGATATGAGGAAGGTAGTTTCTATAGGATATTTCCTCTTCTCCAATCTATACAAATTGACTGCCACCTCATCTTACTTATACAATTAGACCTCTTTGCTCAGAAAAACCCTCCCATCTGCATGGGAGAAGGAAGAGCTAAGTTATAAAGGATCTGGTAAATTTTAGCCATTTGAAATGTCTACCCTTCACCCCTTTAAATGTATGAGAACTTTAAATTTATATAATGGTGACATTGCTCATAGATTAATAGATTTTTATGGCCAGAAGGGACCATTATTAGCTCATCTAGTCTGACCTCCTGTATATCACAGGCCATAGAACTGCATATAGTTACTCCTGTATTGAGCCCATGTATTGTTAGAGCTTAAAGCCAGTCCCTTAGAACACAGGGACTGTGTTGGCCCAGTGGGGTTTGTGCAGTGAAAATAAAACCCAACTTTTCATAAGTAAGCAAAGATAGGGTGACCAGATGAGAGGAAGAAAATATCGGGACACATTGGGGGGGGTCCGGCAGCGGAGCAAAAAAATAAAAGTAAAGAAAAAGCTGAGTGCTGTCAGCGGAGCGAAATATTGGGACAAATTGCCTCCCGACCAAAGATTGGTCGGGATGCGTGACAAACACCTAAATATCGGGACGTCTGGTCACCCTAAGCGAAGGGAGCGTCTAGGAAGCTTCATATCTGGGTAACTTGCTTGTTAGATCCTGATGTGCCCTTCCCTGGGACAACCTGCTTCCAGTGAAACCTGCTGGGTTGTTTGTCCACTTGCAGTAGGAAGCAGGGGCTCTTCTGGAGAGAGAGGACATTGCACTTTGTGGAAAAGGAAAAGTGATAAAACTTTACTTGCAATAATCTGTCTATACTGTCTTTCCCTGAAGCTGGTTTAGAGTAAGGGGGAGAAGCGTGATGAATGGGACCATCACAAGCCTGCTGCTATAAGAGGACAGGGCCATCCTTGGTTCCACTGTCACGGACTCTTACTAAAGTCCCATCTCCTGTGATCTGCTAGAACAGGAAAAATTGAATAATGCAGAAAGCTTGCAGCCCCACCTAGATCACTGACATTCTGGCTAGCTTGCTCTTTTGGGAATCTTCCCTGTGACCTGTTTAGTCTAGTTGAAGGCATGTGAGCTAGACCCACACTGGAGAGATTCATTTCAAGGTTTTCGATCCTCTTTGTTCTTCCCTTGTATCTTTATGAACGCTTGCTTATATTTCCAGAGGTTCATTGAGTCCTTCTGGAAGGAAACAAGCTGCCTCTTGTGTGTAGTGAACTGCAGGCATCATGATCTGAGATCTTGTCTGAGCCTGACTAGGGACGTCTTTTGCATTTATGGGAACATAACCAACATTCCATGGTGGGAGTAGATGGCTTCTATGATGTAGCTGTCTTAAAGCTGTAGCCAGAAAGACTTGATGCAATATGGGACTGAAACTATTACGAACTTACTTTCCCTTGATTTGTCTTAACTTTGAAGCTTGTTTATCAGGAACAGTAATCGGTGTTAATGGAAGTGGATTGATTCTGACTGAGTGAGCTGTCTTCAGGTTTCACTCAGTTCAGAGGAGTTCATGATTGCCTTGTGGCTAATGAGATCAGACCAGAGACCTGATCAGTTTTAACCCTATACTTCTAGCCAATGGAGCATGCAGAGTTTCCTCTTGATTCCCTGCCACTAACCCAGGTTTTTGTCAGTTAAAAGGAAATGCAAAATTTAAAGGGCTTTTAAAATTCCTCCAGGTTTGCTGCCTTTGTCCATCCCAGGCCCTGCTGAGGTTTGTGCTGTGTAGGACTACTTCTGATGAATGTCTAGTGCTAAGTAGCACAGCTTGTAGCACAGCTCAGGGATAAGCAGAATCCCTTGTCAAGGTAAAACAGGTGTAAAAACTGAAATGAGGATGAGGCTAGCAGTTAATACTGTGTGACTAGGCTTGGAAGGATTAGATTTTTATTGGTAAATGTCAAACGTTGATTTCACTGTACATGCACAAACTGATGCATAAATATTTCCATCAATAATTGAAATTTAGAGGTAGGCAAAGTAAGAAAAATGCTGCTTGAGAACTTATTGGTTTGATTTAAGGCTATATACTTTGTATATTTTGACATAGGATGTTGACAGTTTGTGTGCTAATGGTTATAATGCTTTAACTTTTTAAATCTCAACATCTACTGTCATTAAATTGTTTCATCCCTTAATTTCCCACAACTGAAAGTTTAAACTGAAAAAATGCTTAAAACCCATAATTGTGCACAACATTGAAAATTTAAATTGATGATTGCTTAAAAATAGGTGTTGCTATTGTCTATTAAAATTATAAATTCATCGCCCTTGGCATAGCTACATCTCTCAGGGGTGTGAAAAATCCACATACCCCTGAGAGATGTAGCTATGCTGACCTAACCCTTGGTGTAGACAGAATTCTTCCATTGACCTAACTACCACTTCTTGGGGAGGTGGATTACCTATGCTGATGGGAGAACCTAGTGTTTACACTGAAGCGCTACAGCAGTGCAGATGCAGCTGTGCCACTGTAGTGATTAAAGTGTAGACATACCCTGAATGAAGCGATAGTGAAATCCCAGACTCTGGTCTGATCGTATTAGCCCAGGGGTTCTCAAACTGGGGGTCGGGACTCCTCAGGGGGTCACAAGGTTATTACATGGGGGTCACAAGTTGTCAGTCTCCACCCCAAACCCTGCTTTGCCTCCAGCATTTATAGTGGTATTAAACATATAAAAAAGTGTTTTTAATTTATAAGGGGGGGGAGGGGTCGCACTCAGAGGCTTGCTATGTGAAAGTGGTCACCAGCCCAAAAGTTTGAGAACCGCTGTATTAGCCCATTTTGGAAGCTGTGAAATGGAATGAATTGGCTGCATTCTTCTCCTCCCCACCACCCCTTTCTGTACTGCAGTCAATTACTCAGGGCTTGTCTACAGTGTGGAGACTATACCAGCATAGCTACAACAGCAGAGCTATGCCAGGTTTTTCTGCTGGTGTAGAAACACCACCTCCCTGAACGATGAAAGCATTAATTTGTCAATATAGGTCTTTCTATGGGGGGGTTAGGTCAGTTTAGCTTTGTTGGTTGGGATGTGTGGGTTTTTGCATCCCTGACTGACATAGCTGTGTCGACCTAACTTTTAAGCCCTGGTCTGCACTTCAGATTTAGATTGACCTAACTGCATTGATCAGAGGTGTGAAAAATTCATCGCCTTGAATGCTGTAGTTAAGCCAACCTAACTCCCAGTGTAGGTGCAGTTTGTCTTCCTTCAGTGTAGGAAGCATCTACACTAAGGCACTGGAGCTGTGTCGCTATAGTACCGATACTGTAGACGTGCTCAAAGTGTAGACCAAGCCTAAGGGCTGTTACAATGGAGGCAACTCTTGGATAACGAGCTGAGGTGAGCTCCGTGGGAATTGCATTGTATCCAGGATGGCGAATTCTTTATAAATCTTGTCTTTACTGCTCAGGGCGTAATATGTCACAGCACAGAAACTAGAGTCAGTACCACAACATTTTCTACTTGTTGGGAGTAGTTGTTCTCCTGACTATAACTGACCTTGTACTCACTGCAGACAAAAACAAATACCCTTTGGGATTGCCGCCTTGGTCCTGTCTGCTACAGGAACTGGCACCTTTTTGAGAGCAAGAGTTGGATGGTATCACTTCTGTTTTGCTGGTCTTCCCCTCAGAAAACATGCTGCTGCTCCTCGCTAGAACTGAAAAGCTGGCACAGCAGCAAAATTCTGTTTCAACAACTGAGGCCTTTTAACCCTTAGTTGACTGCCAGCAAACAAGCATATAGGTGCAGCATCCAGAGGGCTGGTGTTGCTACTTGCTAACTCTGATGTCCAGTGAATGAATTGGCAGCTGTATTCTTCTCCACATCTTATCTCCAACACCCCTTTCCATGCATAGGTTAGTGTTTGACTGCAGTTCTCCAGGGTTGAGGGGGTAGGACAAGGGTATTTTAGGTGGTGCTTGGAGGAGCTGTTACATTGAGAGCCTTCCCACAGTAGCAGTGGTCTATGTTGGTGCATAAGGCCCAATCTATACCTGGAGTGTTCTGTGTTTTTTAGAGTTCTATGGACATTTCAGTTTATGATTAGAGAAACTGGAATTAGGTTTTTAATTTGTCTTTTAATATTCCAGAGTTGTTTGGGTAACCATCTGCCTTGTAACTCGTGTGTATGTGTACATGTACACAAAACTTAAAGGCTTTGTTTCCCTACAGAGTGGACTGTTGAGGTGGTAGGGTGAAGAACCTTATGATCTCTAACATAATTGCCCTGGAATCTGTTTTAAACCTTGCTTGGCGTTTACATTGTTCTCATATCTGTCTAGACCTTTAAAACCATGATTTTTCTTTTATGTATATGGGGGGTGAGGTTTGAGGAGTATTTTTTCCCCCTTGAAAATGAATCTGTGGTCAAAGATCTGGGGTATTGTGGAAGTAGAGTTTCTCCAACAGTATCTACATTGCTGGGGTTGCAGTCATTTTCCCATCATACCAGCATCTAGGTCTTGGCACATTGTATGATAAAGGCCACCAGAATGCATCGAATCATAGAAATGCTGGGCTGGAAGGGACCTCAAGAAGTCCTCCAATCCAGCCCCCTGGTCTGAGGCAGGACTAAGTGATGGAGATCCCTAAATCATAAACTACTTTGCTCAGATTTTATTCCATTGTGTTTTTGTTTTGTTTTTTTAAGGCTTCTTTCCTCCTCCCTCTCAAACACAAGCAACCCCTTTTTATTTTTAAGGTATTTCTGCACTTTCTAAAACTGGAATTTAAGTTGAATAAAGTTTCCTGCCTTCTGGGGTGAATATGCTGTGCAGTCTGGTTCCCCCTCACTCCAAAGCCGCTGTAACATGGAGTATTAGAGACACTTTGGGCAGGAAGACAGGAGCTTTTGGTTCTTGTTCCTGCAGACCTCTAACTTGGAAAGTATCTTCCTAAACCGGGGAGGAAAGCCCCCTCCTCAATAAGAGGATAGCACACCAGTATCCTGCCTGGTTTTGGGGGTGGAGGAAGCAGGACAAACACCTATAAAATGGGTGTATAATTATTGTGGGAGGGAGCCAGGTGTATACTGTATGGCCTCACTAAAGTTAAGGCCGTGGAGAGCCGGGGATAGCAACTGTGCTTTGCTTGGACAGATACTTTTGATTTGGATACTAAAATCATACTGTTAATTTTTC